AAATGGGATTTACAATAAAGTAATTTACAAAATTATTTTGACTTGAGTTTATTTATTAATGAGTAACGTATCTTTTGAGTGAATGTGCAAATTTGTAATGTTATCAGCTTTTACCATGTTATTACAACATTTAACCACTTTTTATTAATTTAAAAATTGAGAAATTCTTTCAAATTTAAATCTCATACAAGAACTACAGCAAAAATCAGTTTGATGCATATTTTATCAATATTTTAGAAATTTTATTTGAATATTACCAGTACTGACTTCAATGGATTTCATTAAATTCCTTTGAACACGACTGCTCAAAACGGTCTAAATGTATTAAACCTACACATTCCAAACATTATTACTCTGAAATTTTTAATGTAAATGTTAAGTGTAAGTGAAATGTTAAGTAATGTAAGGTCTTTCATGACACTACATATGCTGGGGTGTGAATTTGATAGGTGCTTGATATAAAATAAATGGTGCTTGAAAAAGTCCTTGAAAGTCCTTGAATATGGTGTTCATGAAAGAGTGGGAACCCTGCTTTAAGCAATATCGTATCGCATATCGAATATCGCATTTTTAACAAGGTATCGCATATCGCATTTTTCTTCAATATCGCACAGCCCTACCACCTATGTAGGGTACATACTTTCCCCTGAGCTCTCCATGTACAGCAAACCCTACCAGGGATGACAGCTGCGTAAAACCTTTGCTAGAACTTGATTGTTGACTGGCTGTGCTGTTATTCTTTCCTCAAGGTGAGGGCAAGTGGTTCAGAAACATTGACTACTATCGTCTAGATGGTTCAACGAGCGCCATGACCAGGAAGAAATGGGCAGAGGAGTTCAATGACACCAGTAATGTTCGGTAAAGATGTTTTCCCTTTTGAGTAGCAAACAGAGGAACCATTGAACTCGTTTTTCCATGATTGTCAAGCACTTGTGTTCTTGTTCTCCACAGGGGGCGATTGTTCATCATCTCAACCAGAGCTGGCTCTCTTGGGATCAACTTGGTAGCTGCAAACAGGGTCATAATTTTCGACGCCTCATGGAACCCATCCTACGACATTCAGAGTATATTCAGAGTCTATCGCTTTGGCCAGGTGAAGACCGTGTTTGTCTACAGGTTTTTGGCTCAGGTGAGAAATTTAGTTCTGACATTTGGACGAATGTATTTGCTGTGTTTATTCCGTGTAGAAATATGCACGTTTATTCACAGACAGGGGAGATCAGATCTGTAATGTTTTTGGACATGTTTCTTTCTATAGGGAACCATGGAGGAGAAGATCTATGACCGGCAGATCGCCAAACAGTCGCTGTCATTCAGAGTTGTGGACCAGCAGCAGATTGAGCGTCACTTTACCATGAACGAACTGACGGAGCTGTACGCGTTTGAACCCGACCAGCTGGACGATCCTTCGGAGAAGAAGAGCAAGCGGGCCACACCCATGCTGCCCAAGGTGAAAACCGCTTCATACCACCTGTTTTTCTCTGTTTTGTTTGACCGCAGAAAACATTGGAGTTTTGTCTCAATTTGTCAACTGAAATCAGATTTGTTTGTATAGCACTTTTCACAATACACATCGTTTCAAAGCAGCTTTACAGAAAATCATGATGTTAATATTGACAAGATGTTAAAATCCTCATGCCTCACACATTAAGCAGATTAGGGCTACAAGCAATCAAGCAGTTGTGATTTGCTATGTAGTATATATTGGCCAACACAGGTATACTTGTATATATGCGGATAAAGTTAAACATACTTCTATATCCAACTTTGTATAAAGTGCAGGGTGATAATATAGTTTAAATATACAAAAAAAATCAAACAATTTAGATTAGATATGTAGTATGGCTTTACATGTATACTGTATGTATGTGGTTACTCTGTGTGTGTGTGTGTGTGTGTGTGTGTGTGTGTGTAAAACATGAAACTACAGTTTACATTTTGCCACAATATAAACATTTGTGCTGTGTGGATTTGCTATATAGTGTATAGATTACATAAAGTATACTCACATTAAAAGTTGGTTATATAGTGCATCCGAGCTTGTTTACAACTCACTGGGCGATGATATAGTTTACATTTTTCGAAAATGTAATAATAAACCATGTATTTTACAGTTAATGTAACTCCAAAAAAACTATCCTAAAGAAATCAGACAAGAATGATGTGACAGAAATGTTAAATATCAATATTGTTACCTTGCAAGTATACATTTTTTTCTGAACATCTCTCACAAACACCTTTGGATTTCAATTTCTGTGCTCCTATTGGGTCCATTAGTCTGTGACCTAATATTTAATTGCAGTGGTGATTAATCAGCCATCCTGAGCTTATGCACTAAGTGATCCAAGACTACAACCCCCTAAAATCTGCCTCACACTGCAGAATCGTGTGTGCACTGCTGAAGTTGAATGCTCCTGGCCTGTATCCTGTGCACATTACCTTTTGATGTTCACAAGGATTGAGATGCTGTTATTAACTCGTGTGCCTGGTTTCCAAAGCTTTCAGTCTTCCTAGAGGGATAAGGATTGGAAGAACAGTGCTCAGCTCTCATCTTAATAGTTCTGACCTATCTAAGCACAGGTGCGCGGTCACACGAGAGAGAACCCCTGAAGATTTTACAAGACCATATCGGCCTTCGATTGTACATCCAGTCTTTCACAACAGCACACAGCTGCACTCTATGACCCTTGTTTACTGAAGAGTTTTATACTGCAGAACCGATGATGCTGGGATCCTTTAATTGGAGGCAAAGGCATCCAGTACACATCCAACAAATGTGTCCAAAAGCACACAGCTGTGCAGATATTTGTCTTGTGTACCACAGAAGGTTTACACTGGGGAAGATACAGCCCCCCACATCCTTCTGCTGAAGTCCTCAATGTTTTATCATGAGCTGCTCACTTTGGAGTTGATGTTTGAGAAGCTTGTTGTTCTTTATCAAGCTTTTAATCGGAGATGGAGCCCTACGTTTGTGCGCTGCAGATGACCACATTTGGCCATATGTGCACCAGAATGTAGCAAGTCAGCTGTTATGGATGGAATCTGCTGCCTGTAATCGTCTGTAGATGAGTCAGTCATCCCTCAAAGCCTGTAGTCATATCTCTGTTTCTCACAGTACCCTCGCCAAGTTTATGGATCACAGGAAATATTTCTAATCCTGGCAGACCTCTGCCCATCATTCTTTCCTTACCTTGTGTAATGTGTCTGCATCTTGATCTTTTTTTAATAAGCCAAAAGAATATGACACTTGCACCTTTTTTTTTTTTTTTTGTGAACATCTTATGTTCTTTGGACAGAGAACTTAGATGTGTTAAACTATTAGCTAACAATTTAAATAGCTAGTCTACAATGCCTTCAATTTATGTACTCCCGCTACCCCAGTTTTTACTGTTAAAATTGTGCATCATATTTTTGACTATTCACTTTATTGTAGGGGAAAAAACTAATTTCAGTTAAAAAACGAGTAATTAATGAAATTGTGACACCTAGGAACTAGGAACTATTATTCTCACAATAATGTTAACATATTAGTAAAAATCAACTGTTCAACCCCATTACCAAAGTTTTTGAAAGAGAAATGATCCTTACATGTTGTTCTATTTTTAGAAGTTAATCTAGGAGTTTAATGGTTTTAATCTGTATTCAGGCTTTGTCCTAAATTTAGGTAAAAGGATTGAAAAAAATCAATCAAACCTCATTAAATAACGTAAAATGAAACCTATAATGTTTAGTTGCCTGAGGTGGACAAGACATTTACTGGAGGTTAAGTCCTGTTTTTACTCCATTTGTGCAAAGTCCACACTGTTAATGTGATCTTGTTCATTTGTTTAAATATTATATATATTAAAATTCAAATGAAACCTGATAGTTAAGTTAACATCTCCTTAAAAGCCTCAGAGATATAGTGTATAAGTGATTCTCTTTGTAATAGTACACTAAACTTACTCTGATCTGGTGATAGCAGCTATTCCCACCAGTCCCTCCTTTCCCTTGTTACTTTCCCTAGTGTTTCTGTGCCGCTGCAGCTCACCCAAACATCATGCCATCATGAAGGCCATCTGTTACGCTGATTCACTGCTTCGTCTCTGAAGTTTTCAAAGGAACACTGTAAACCTCCCCCGACCTGATGAACAGTCATTATTCCAAACCCCTTTTAGGATGTTCTTGTGCTTTTCACAGAAACTAATTGGAGACAAAGGAAGTTAGCGGACTTCCACTCTAATGACAAAGAAGAGTGCTGCGGCCCAGACACGAGAGCCACCCAGCTTGGGGTCTGGCCTTGCCTCGGGCTCTTCGGAGGCCCATTATAGAGCTGAGACCCGTGGGTAGACTTTGAGTGACACGGTTGGGTCGGTGTGTACACTTCCTGAAAGTGGTCCATCGGTGGGAAAGTGGTAATTTGCTTTCGCTCAGGCTCCCCCGCCGATTGGGTCTCGTTGAGCAAAGGAACAGACTTTAGTTGGGATAATTAGGTGCAGGAGCTGGTCTTAATAAGTCCCCCAGATGTTCCTTAAATGAGTGGGTGCCTTCAACCCTCCATTTTTAGATATTTGCCCTAACTTGAATGAAAGAGCTGAAGGTGTGAACTGCAGTGCGTCGTAGAAGTTCTCACCTAGCGTGCTCCATTTAGTAAATGGTAGAATGATCTTGGATGGACACCTGACATCCGGCCCTGTGCCAAACATCAAGAGCTCTGCAGACACAGACTGTTTATATCAGGGCACTGAGGTTATGCGTATAATTTGTGTGCAGCTGTAGAGTACGTTTTGCCTGGCTAAGGTTAGGTATTACAAATATCTCAATCCTTCACATTCCTTGAGTCTCTTGCCCCGGACCCCTTGGTTTCTTTGGTTTGTGCACCTGCATGTCAAACATAATGTCTTGTGAAATCTGAGGCAAGCATTAGGCTCTTAATTTTAAAGTGGTAGATAAGAGTTTTGTTCACAGACATTCCCCTTTTTAGGTCATGAAGGCAAAGTTGCATGTTTTTATCGGAACAAGACATCTGAAGGAAACACAAATTATTCCACACTCTTCTGAAGCTCCTGTATCTTTTTTTTCTTCTTTTTATGGATGCAGTCTGTCACGCTTCCATTTTCCCACTCCTCACACCCTGTCTTCTACAGAGCACACGGCAGATGTTTATGGCCGTAGTAATGAGTGAAATAAAATAGAGTTTGTGAATATGGATTGTATTTAATATGAGGTGGCGTGATCAAAAACCTTAAGAGGCAGTTGGGCTGAAATAGCTGTAAATGTGCTGAAAATGATTCAGAAGGAAGAAAAATGGCAAGAAAAAAACGTTTGCGTTGAAACCGATGGTGTTTTTCACACCAGCGGAGTTCATCTGGGACCGTGTCTTAAGTAAATTGGCTTTGTTTGCCAAGTCGTAAATGTATGTAGTTGAGCAGAGCTCTTACAGTTCATTTGAATGTTCTGTTTCACCAGCAATGATGTGTGTCTCTGTTTCAGCGTTTTAATTTAGGAAAACTTGCAAGAAGAATACTTACTGCTGTCAGCTTTTTATTGATAGCTATTCAAGGCCGTTTAAAAATGTCTTGCAGAGAGAAAATTGAAGAGAAATGTGCCACTGTTCAGGCAAAACTTGAAGGCAAAAAATTATTTTGCCAGAAAAGTCTGGACATAACAGATTACCTGTACAGATGTCCAATGTATGTCTTATTGTGCACCATTTCAGTGGTTCATGTTGCATTCTCATCATTGCTGTAAGTGGCACTACAAAAGGACAATTTTCTTGAACAATGCCGTAAACTGCCTAGAAACAACTAATTCTGACAGTAATATTGATGTGCACTGGGAATGTCTGATTTCAATGATGGTGCACCTTCTAACATTGCTCAGTGTACATTTTTTACTCAAGCTTTACAGAGATGTTTATGAAGGTCAACAGTCCATTTTCAAAAACATACATGGGAAACAGCAAAAATCGCAAAGACTCACAAGGAAACGATTTCTGTGGTTGTGATATTTTTAAGATGAGAAAGAGCGTGGTGTTCAGACATGGGCAGATAGACTGTTCCCCACCTGGGGCAGTATTTATCCTTGCAGCAGTCTGGCTCATGCACCTCCATGCTTTGATCAAAAGCAAAATGCTTCCTCCCACCGTTTGACTTCCTGTGGGATCCCCACTCCCCATTTCCCTGAGAAAAGAAAAAAAAATCTGCATTCTGCTGATTCCCCCATTCCCCCACCCAACCTATTCCACATCCATGAATGGAGTAAAACGATATCCTTTTCCTAAGCCGTCATTATGCATGGGGTTAGCTCACAGTATGACAATGCAGGAGTTCTTGTTACCGTCATTAGTGCCTTCGGTCGAGATGCACGTGTAGGGCAGGTTACGGAGACAGACGAGACCGCCCGCGGAGCTCCAGCCTGGAGATTAATCAGGAATCCCGGCATTCCCTGCTCCCCTGGATGGCTTCACTGTCATTTGACCCAGCGGCTCTGTGACCCATTTACCAGGCTCAAAATTGGACAATGTTCAGATAAGCTCAAGTTGTCCCTCTCATGATGGCGAGTGTTTGAAATGTGCTCAAACAACAGCTTCATCGTGGACTTGTCTTTTGCTCCAGACACGCAGCTCACACTTCAGTTCCCCCTCGTCTTCTGCACGCTTTAACAAGAGATCATCTTTTCCATGCAGTCTTTTTCACGGTTGTGATGCCGAAGGGGTTCCTCACATGGCAGCATCCAGCCATGTTTTAATTTAGCCACTTAGCCAGAAATTACCATCACTCATCCAGTCGGGATTGTGGAGGGTATAGGCCAGGCCTGGCGTGATTGTGCTTGCTTTCGCCACGTGTTTTTATTTTTCAGCTTTCAAAGCCACTTACTGAAAAGCCTTGATGTGGACGGATCTGTAGCTGCGCTCTCCGTTACAGCTCTGCTGTAATGCAGAAGGCATGGCTCTGTTTTTGGTACCTGTCTTACTGCCGTTATCTTTATTTCTTGAAATAAACCATTATCTGGTTAATCATGATTGGCTCTTTGGGGGACGATCGAGGTTTGCTCACTTTGTACCTCAGATTCTGTTTCTCTAAACCTTTTCTGTAGCAATTATTTAGTAAGAAGTCCTAAATTTATAATCGTCAGGCTTTTCTTTTTGAAAGTTATGACGATTGATTAATTTTGTTTTTGTTTTATTTTGTTTCTTGTTGCTGCTAAATCGGGTGATGACGTAACTCACGCATTTATGTTCATATGGTTGGGATCCAGCAGATGTTTCTAGATCTTGACCTTTTTAATGTAAAGTTGCAGGCAAGACAAAGAAAAGCAAACAATAGCTGTAGAGTAATTTTAAACCATGTTTGTACGAGGCCTGGATGTGAATCGTGCTCCGCTCAGGTGTTGTTTTCAATAACAGTGTAGTCATGGATACCAGAGTTGCATGAAAGCCTCTGAAGTTATTTTAAATATGTCTTCTAGTTAACACTTGGTTTGGAGTCTGTTGCTTTTTTATTTTTAGCTTTGCAGCACAACCTAACCACTAATTGACTGTTTTATTCATTATGAGATAAAAGACCTTGTATTATGAAAACATACTATAACTATAACTAAGCCAAAACTAGACCCTAGTCCAGAAACACCATTTCTTGAAACTAAACTGCAAAAACGACACATTCCGAACCTGTGTAACATTCTGACATCAAGTGCATGAATACATCCACATGTGACTGTCCATCAGTGACTCCTATTAGGTGATCAGAATCTTAGGCCATCTGAGGTAGTGAAGATGAAAAAATAAATTGTTTTAAAGTCAGTGAAATAGAGGTAGCGAGACATCTTTTCTTCTCTTTTGTGTGACGTACATTCAAGTGTAACAGATTATCAAAAAATGAAGAAAAAATGCAGGGCAGGAGTTGGTTCTATGCATCGGTTGTTGATTGGATGTTGAGATGTTTCAACATTTTTGAGTAGTTTAACTAAGCCAAAGCAGCATTTTTTGTGTGTGTGTGTGTGTGTGTGTGTG